AAATCGCTATTACCGATAGGCTCATCCAATCAAGTTTCGATAAACCCGTTCATCATCATCTCCTGCGGTTTCGAACACGCCTGTAAGGTGGCTTCTGATGCTCGTCGAGGTCGGAATTTCCAAATACGCGTGGTGCGTCGGGCCGCGCGCTCTGACTTCGGCCAAGAAAAATGCGTCAGCTGATCATTGTCATTTCTGCCACTTGCGTGTGGTGTAATGGGGTCATAACTTAAGAGACGGCTGTTTCATATCAATTATTTTACATAAAATCATATTTCAAACCACAAATTAATGTTCGACAGCCAAATTTAAGAAACAATACCAATACAGGCTTACAGTTTAAGGCTCGACATTGTGTTGTCTACGATTAGACAGCTGATAACTCATTCCCGTACGTCGCATGGTCGTAACACTATAATGACCTTTGCTTATTGTCACAAGTGCGCCGCGTTCGCGATTGTTGCCCGACGCCTGTTTGCAGGTGAGCCCACTACAGTTGTTATACATATCTAAAAACCGATAAACTTTTAGGCGAAAAAGGCACTATTCCAGGCCCATTTTTGATTTTTTTTGCGATATTAGGTAAAAACAGAAGCTTCTTATCCTAGGAAAAATAAAACGGGAAATCTTTCAAAGGTGGCACACTACCTTTAACTATTGACAACAAACCTTCGGTTATCCTACCACCCTGTCGCGTTTTTTGCGTGTGAATAAAAAACCGCGGCGCGTAGCGCCCCGCCGCCTGGAGTAGCTATTTGTACATCAATTTTGGACAATGTGTGAAATTTTTGACCCCAGGTCATGTCAGGTCAGGTCACCAGGTCAAGTTAACTGACCAAGCCTAAAAAAGTTTGCAATCATGTCCAGCCTGCAGTGTTTTTCAGAAAAGTTTTAAGCTTGGTGGATTGCATGATGTTATGGGCGCCTACAATTTGCATATCTCGGATTTTTTATATCCGTGACCTAAGGTCAGGTCAGTGGCGTGACCTTACCATTATAAGTCAACGGAGAAAAATGGAAATGCCTCTAGATCCGTGTGTACGCATAGGAACAGCCCAAATATTTCAGAATCACAATGATTTAGACCACCCGTGACGACCATGGTGTCTTTTTTGCTGATAGCCTCTAGAAAGGTCATCCGAGGTCATTTGAGGCTTCAAACAGATTTTTGTCAATAACTCTCGATTGGAAAGAGATAGGACGTTGGGAATGGCCTCATTGTGTTTGTCTTGTTCAGACGCATCGACTGATATGCAGCATGACCTTTTCCGGTCAGGTCATGACCTTGACCTGAGGTCAAATTTTCAAGTTGACCTTTCAAGGTCAAATTATATTTCATTCGACGCGTCTCGGCGAGAGGAACACGACTCTGGCAATAGAAATGTTGTGGCCTGTTTTAGTCAAAAGTTATTGTCGAAAAACACATTTCGTAAAACAGCTTTTTTTAGTTTTTGCCCTCTGGATGCTAAACCATTGACCTGAGGTCAATTTTGATGATGACCTTATCAAAAGAAAAGTTCATAAGCTATCGATTGCTTTTCCATCCGTTTTCTTAACTAGCATAGTTCCTGAGATAAATGCATGTTTTCTCAGAAATATAATGACATTTGGCAAATTTTGACCTTTGATGACCTCCAGTGACCCCAATATTGCTCTAAGATGATAAATGACCGAAATACTTTCAAACGTACGCATTGAGAGCTATCGACTGCTTTTTACTGCGTCTTTCTAGCCCTCTTAGTTTTTGAGTTAGAGGTAGGTGGTAACATATGCCCCCCCCCCACACACACACACACTAGCACTAGGGCGAAGTTGGCTGAGACCGCCACTGGGGCGCGGGTTAAAATCTGAAAGATGAGGGTGACGGGCCTGGTACGATCTATCGTGGAATGCCCCAGTAAGCACATACATACCTACCTAATATGGACGGCCGTTGGACGCCTGTAGGTTGACGTAACCTGACCGCAGCCGACTTTCCCCAAATACATGAATACAATGATCAAAACTGAGTTGATAATAGCGATTAGCGAATGCCTAACAATTATAAAACTAATAGGCCTAATGCTTAGTGAAATGCTGATAATTGTGTCTCGCTGGGTCACATGGAGTCAGTAGGTCGTTCCTCTCCGGGTCCCAGCGGGGCGCGGGTGAAACTGAAATCGCTTACCTTACGTCTTTCAGCAGCACACCTTCCGTCCTAGACCTCCAGTCTCTGTCTGGGGTCACAGGGTTTGAACTGCGCAGTGCCTCCCCCTGTGTCCCTTTGTCATGAGGCCGAACTAACCCATTGACGCGGAGCGGTGCAACAATTTGATGACGTCAGCAGAGTTACCATGGTAACGTGACAACACGAGCCGAGCGGTGTGCAGACACTGCCCTCCCCGGATATGCAAGTTGCAGTTTCTGCTGGCGGCACATGCAAACTAGGTGGTCGAATTGAGTGCCCTTGACAACAAAGCACAAACTAGATGAAGGTCCATGTCGTGTCCTGCTGGAGGGGGGGGGGGGGTGTTTGAACACCCCCCCCTCCCTAATGGTTTTTCGCGAACGCCGTTTTTGGCACACCTTATCATACATCAATTCTACACATGTTGTAAAAATTCCAGACAAAGGTCATTCAAGGTCAGGTCACCAAGTTACTTGAAGTGACCTCACCTTATAAAAAGTTCCAATGTCTGTCATATAGCTACACCTAGTGACAGATTGCTTTGAAACTTTCAGCGATTGGCGCTGCCCCCCCCCCCCCCCCCCCCGATGCCATACGCGCTACCTTTCTCAGTGAGAGGGGTCACCATCCGGAATGTTTTACAATCGGGAACAATTGAATGACAATGGGCGCCTCAGATGCATAGGCGGCGGAACGGGGAGAGCACCGGGGCACCGTGCCCCCCCCCCTGATTTTGGCATTTTAACATTAGCCCTATGGGCGTTGCATGGAAAGAATGGGATCAAAAGTCGTCAGTGCCCCCCCCCCCCTTAATTGAAGGTGTTCCGCCGCTACTGCTCAGATGCCTTCGTTTGCTGAATTGGCGAAGAAACTGCGAGTGCCATTGCGTTCGGAAAGTGAGATGGCTTTTCAAAATTTAATTTGATGAGTTTTCATAAGACCTTATAACGTCTTACCTATAAATAATTGCATGCAGCAGTAGGTATTGAAATTGTAATAACACCCTCTACGGTCAAGGTGCCAAGCCTAAGCCAAATGCTGACACTATGTCGTCGTTTCATTTCATTCAGTTCACGCTTCACAATGACAATGACTTGCTTGCCACTAGTAATTCAACAATGGAATTTGGAAAAGTATTTTCAAGATTTTGATTCCAATCCTCATTCCATCCTACAATCGAGCAATCACGTTTGACGGTAAAAAATTATTTTCGGTTGATCTATTGTTACCCAGCGAGCCATTTATTTTCGTAATGTGGACATATATGTATAACACAACTTAAAGTCGGAAAGTGGGCAGCATGCAAACTGCCCAAGCTTTTGGGCGGTATTTATACTGCCAAGGGGTCGGGTAGTACCTATGCATACTACCCGGGCGGTATGCATACCGCCCGGGCTGTTGGGTAGTATGCATACTGCCCGGGTAGTTTGCATACTGCCCAAGTTAGCATATGACCCGTAACATATACATAGGTACCCAAGAGTTTCACCTTCAAAAAGGAGCTCATCAAGACCAGAAGTTCATCAAAATTGAATGACCTTGACGCTACAATAAGCCAGAGAACAAACCTCATTTCTTTTCTGGCTCACTACTACTTGCAAAAGTGAGGTGCACGTATAAATTATATGCGCTATATGCGGCGAATCATCATTCTTGTCGAATATTGTTTTAAAACAATGCATAATTTCAAAGGTCAATGATCGGACCACGAACGTTTTCAGGTAAGGGTATTGATTAGAACTGAGTGATAAACGTTACGTCAATATTCGCCACTTTTTAGAGGTGAGTACCTAATTGAGAAAACAACCGAAAGACCCTATTGGACACTTCCCCTCTATGTGATAGGGCCACTGGCGACATCCAGCCTTCTAAAAAGTGGTAATGGTCGTTTTCACGACGGCCATCTGGTACACATTTGGTACACATCTGGTACAGATTAGGTGCAGATTTGGTCAAATCAGGTTCAGTGTGTCTCTTAGCAGCTATCAGCTAGGGTTGCAATAATTGCTTATATGCCTGCTTTGTCATATTATCAGAGAGCATCATCGATGAAAACACTGAAATAAATTCACAAAATGAAGATATTTGATGTAAAAGAAATTAGGTGCAGATTTGGTCAAATCAGGTGCATTCGCCGGATAGCCCGTCGTGAAAACGGCTAGTGTCCACTGGCGGTATCCAGCCTTCTAAAAGAAATAACGACCACCGGCTGTATCGCACCGCTGGATACTAGACCGTGTCCTGTATCCACCAGTCGATGGTGAGGTGTCCCGGATCCGTACCCGTGCTGTGTCCATACAACTGTAATATAACTAATACACACTGTACAGTCTACAGTTGACGGCAGAACGATGCACCGTTTCTCAGCGGTCAGTCAGCTGCCTGCAGTGGTAGGCTGTGCCGCACCGCACGGGCTGGGTGACACATTGATCACCATAGACACACTTCATGTGTGATAATCAGTACAGCCTATCGGTTCAGTCAACTGAAGTGCTGGGCCGGTGGTGAGGGTAAAAAGTATGATTCGCCCCGTCCCGTGAGGGATGCATTTCCTGGAAATGACCTGATTTTTCTTTTTACTGGTAACTCTCTGGGTTTGGCTTAATTTTCACGGAACACTTATACTAGGCAGCCTGAAGTTGCACGCACTTTTTATGAAGCATCCGACATTAGAGCTCCACGTCACTTCAAGTAGGTGACTTCTTTACATCACAACTTTGTATGACATTATGGCATGATATGTTCAAAGCATTGCATAATGGTCAGAAGCCTTACAGTCCCTTTGACGAGTTACCGTCCCGAAATAACGGCACTACATAGTGGCGCTTGGAAATCCAGTAACAGTTGTGTATTGAACGTCTGAACCACTGTGTATTTCAATCGCCATCAGCCCGTGATATCCCATGAACGACACCGAACCAGACATATCCGGTCCAAACGAACCACAGCCGACCGGACCACCGACAGTCCGACACAGTGACGGGCGAGGTCCGATATCGCCCGGACCGGACACCCTCACAGATAGCTCCAACCACTCTCTGGTCTAAACTGAAACTACAACACAACAGCACAGCGGTGTGAGCCAGCGTGACGTCACGTCACAACACACGTGACGTCACCACGGCGGTACCGCCGGCACGGTGACAACGGTTCACCGATGGCTGGACACTGGCCCAGAGCGTGATACATCTCGGATACTGAATATACCTACTGTCTATCAAAGCAGTGTCAACAAACGTAGCAATCTGTGCTCAAATGATCAAGCATTTAGGTGGCCACTCAACCCAAACCACCCTAGCACGGCGGTAAAGTACCCACGGACCTGGCCCGATGGTACAGGGCGACTCAAAGCACTTCTGGATATGAAGGTCTACTAGATGTCTATTTTGTTCAGCACAGCGCTGCCGACGTGACACGGTACTGCCACCTGTTGTCCAGTTCCGACACTACGGACTAGACACGGTGCTGCCATCTGTTGTCGAGTTCCGACACTGCCATCGGCAACGGAGTAGACGAGGCACTGGGTAGTGGGTATTCACATGCCTAGGGCCTTGGCACTGGGAAACTAGTCGATGTCGTCGTAGTACTCCACGCAGATGCTACTGTCTGAGGGCTCTTCAATCTCGTCTTCTATAGACTCTGGAAACAGAGCACGTCAGATTACACACTGATTTCTAGTGATGTCACATGAGGCAACTCAGACTGATGACGTGACGTCGCCTACAGATACAGAAACGAACACAATGACAATGTGTGTATCACCGACTAATGACGTTATGAGGGCTGATACTGATACTGTGACGTCACTAACGGACATACACGTAACCAAGTGTGGCGTCAGTACTGGTGACGTCACGTGCGTCAGTGTGCGAGTCCGAGAGGCCGGTGGCGCCATGTCGGCTGGTGTGGGTGGTCAGACACGCTGCCACTTACTGGGGACATTGAAATCGATGGTACGGGACTGGCCACTGTCACATCCCAGGTCTGTCTCGTGCAGGGCGGTCAGGACAGCCTGGCAGTTTTCAGTTGAGGATTCGATGTACAGTGTCTTCAGTTTCCTGCAGGTCACTGCCATCCTGCAACACATCATACCAAAACAGAACAGGTCACTATACAGGACACAGTCACACAGTGGCACCAGCGGGCGACTCGACACGGATACACCATGTAGTTCCAATGCCGTTCATAACAGAACATATGTGCCTCCAGCTACCTCAAGTTCCCAGTCTGGTGCTGCAATTTGCTATACATGTTTCACACGATACTAAGAGCCTTGTGCCATCCAATATTATGTCCATATCTATATTAATACCAGTCCAGTCCAGATAATGTAGCTGCCCGTCCGTTTGTCCGTCTGTCTGTCTGTTTCCATCGCATCAACACAACAACCTGAATCAAAAAGTCTGCTTGTGGATGCCTATTCTTCTGTAAAGATTTTGTTTCTATTTCCAGTGTCCCCGTGCCCGTATTACTATGTAACCGCAGGTTTGTTGTCAATAGTTAAAACACTATTCTTTAGAATTGTGTAAATCTGAGTTCCCTGACAATTTGGCAAAAGCTGCCTGAGATCAGTACAACTTGATGCTCTTGAAAACGGCTGCTCCAAAAATTCTGATTTTTTCAGGATTTCTAGTAGGCCAGGTGATCTACGTTCTGGTATGGGTCTCCCCTCCGCGGACCATCTGGTGCACGTGCCACGTGACTTTGAAAATTCCCGTATTAAAGGGACCCTCCCACCTTAACATTAGTTTTGAGTTGAGATAGCCAAGTTTGCGGCCAGGCTCAGAAACCACCATTTGTCCTGGTCGCAACCCCCGCAGCTTTATGGTGTTCAAGAAATTTCTTCCCTTTACTTGCAGGGTGGGACCAACGTGGTCCCTATCTCTTAACCATTACGGGAATCTGATGACGTCATCAGGCTTTCGAACGTCCGTTAAATGTTTGACTAAAACGTTTTGTAGCACGCGGTGGTATATGCTGCTTTGCGCGCAACAAATGCCGCACTTTCAAATAAAGTCGCTAGGAACAGCGGAGATCCCAAAAAGTAAACAAAAGTAAAAGTCTAATATCTTGAAAACCGGTGAATATTTTTCGATGAAATTCGGTAGATATTCGTTTTTGCTCTTTCTGAACCGAGCGACATCACTTTCATGCCAATTCATTAACTTTTTTGAAGGTGGGAGGGTCCCTTTAAGCCAATGGGGAAAATGAAAAAATGCGTTCCACGGCAGATTGCTCGAAAACGATGCAAACGACCCCCCATTTTCTTCCATGCGGATCAACCACCATTCGGTGCACTACCCATGGGTATGTCGCAAAGTGGCCGGAAAAGTCCAGAACCACGTGCCACGCGCCGTTGAAAATGACCCTGCACACCGGAAATTTCGACTTTTGGTCATTTCGGCGCACCCAATGATGCATAATATGGCGTGGTTGACCAAACAATGGGTGCCATCCGGTCGGCAACTGTTTAAGGTGTCGTTCAGTGGGTCAAAGTGGTAGTCTAAAACTTTTGGGATCCACCATTCTGGGGAGTCTTTTTGACAATATACTTACGTTTCTTGGCGCAATGTTCATTCCACCCAGCCGGTCGTCAATGCGTTAGGTGACCCAAATGACGATTGACCTGAAGGAAGTTGGGGGCGAGGAACACGCACGTGCCATCCGTTTTTTAATTGGGCGCTTTCATCTAGGAGATTTTTGCAGATATCTTTTTGATTTGTGAAAATGACCAAAAAGCTGAATCTATGATTTCCTAGCGGTATGCAAGTCAAGTCGTTGATAAATTATTATCTTGCTGCGGCCGGGCGCTTATTTGCGCTGTTTGCGTTTGGCGGCTGGCGGGCGACTTTTAGTCGTTTCCGGTTGGCGTTTAGCGTCGGTGCGATGCGGGTGGTTTTATTTTTTTCGGCGTTTCGGCGTTTTTTTGTGAGGTTTGCGGCGGTCGGGCGATTTTTTCGATGTTCGCGTTGGCGTTTCGGGCGTGCGTTTTGCACGTTTTGCGGTGTTTACGTTTTGCGGTGTTTACGTTTTGCGGCGGGCGGGCGTTTTGTGTTTTTTTTGCGGTGTTTGTCTTTGGCGGCGGGCGGGCAGGCGGGCGTTGCGGGCGGTTTTCTTTTTTTGCGTCGTTTGCGGTGTTAAATTTGTTTGCGGTTGGCGGCCGCTTTTTCGTTTTTTTGCGGTGTTTGCTTTTGGCGGCGGGCGGGCGATTTTTAGGCGTTTTCGGTTGGCGGTTAGCGTGCGTGCGATGCGGGCGGTTTTTTTTGCGGCGTTTGTGGTGTTAAATTTGTTTGCGGTTGGTGGCTGCTTTTTCGTTTTTTTTGCGGTGTTTGCTTTTAGCGGCGGGCGGGTGATTTTTAGGCGTTTTCGGTCAGCGGTTAGCGGGCGTGTGATGCGGGCGGTTTTATTGTTTTGCGGCGTTTTTGCGTTTTTTGCGGTTTGCGGCGGGCGGGCGTTTGTTTATTTTTTGCGACTTTTGCGTTGGCGTTTCGGGCGTGCGTTTTGTGCGTTTTGCGGTGTTCGCGTTTTGCGGCGGGCGGGCGTTTTTCACAATTCAAAGTCCAAACCTTCGGGCCACAGCGCTCCTCGAAAAGCGCTGCCCTCGAGTAAACCTCCAAGGGATACCCAGTTTCTGGGGTTATTGCGGTCTTTCCAGATACACATAAATATCCGCCGTCGCCGTCCGGCCGACTGACCTGCTGACCGCTGCCACCTCTGACTGGGCCAGGGCAGGGATGTCCGCGAGGGGCCGGGTGTCACTGAGCTGCACCGTATCCAGCTGGGAGCAGCTGCGGAGGGCGACTAGCACAGTGTCGGAAATGACGCCGGATCCGATAAGAGTGACGCCCGTCAAGCTGGTGAGGGCAGCCAGGAGGCGTCCCGTCGCTTCCGGTGTCACGGACGGTGACTCTGTAAAACATCAAGACAGACATACCGACTGGAATGGATGGAACTGAAGATCAATAATATTTACAGCAAGATATACTTAGTACTAACCAGTAGGACAACTTTTTGGGAAACGGACGAACGAGGGCATTAAAGGAATAGTGGAAAAGCGCAGTAGGGGCGTTCCACGACAAATCGACAAATAAAAAATTAAATTTGCACCCTCATATTTTATTCTTCGTTGAAAACTGATGTAAGGGGTTGTGATGGGCGGGGAAGCCAGCTGTGGCAAGGATTTTTTTCTTCGAACAACGGTTTCCGAGATATAGCCTCGGGCAATTCCTGGAGTTCGCGCTGCAGCCCTATGTTTGGCGACCTATAACTCAGAAACTGTTGGTTTTTACGATAAAAACTTTATATGGTTCAACTCAAAATCAACCAACAAACATTTTGGCTATCTCGGATTTTCAATTTTTGAAAATTTTTATCACGTGACCTTTTGTCCTATTTTTCGAAGAGTGACCTTGATATTTTCCCCACTGAAAGTTACAATTTTGTCTGATGACGATTAAAGCCTTATCAATTGTCATGCATATGCGATAATAAAAAAAGTGGTTTTCGCTCTGCGTTGACCTCAGGTCAGGTCATTTTTATGACCTGTCCATTATTACGAGCGGGAGCGACAGCGAGATTTCGAGAATAAAGCAAGATAGCGACAAGCGGTAAACGGTAAAGGGTACACACGGATAAGGTCTATAATTTTTATTGAGGTCATTTTCAGGTCAGGTCAAAGATGACGTCACAGGAGCTAAAAGGAAGTCAAAATAGCGGCACTATACATATATATGAAGTTTTTCTCGAATAACTTTCAAGGTATCCCAGCTAGGAACAAACTAATAGCACCATCGTGATCCTCTCGTCGATCCGCATCGAAACATATGTATGTTGACCTCGAAAGGTCGAAAGGTCAAAAGTTGACCTTAGATCACGTGACCTAAGGTCAACTTTTGACCTTTCGACCTTTCGAGGTCAACATACACATGTTTCGATGCGGATCGACGAGAGGATCACGATGGTGATATTAGTTTGTTCCTAGCTGGGATACCTTGAAAGTTATTCGAGAAAAACTTCATATACATGTATAGTGCCGCTATTTTGACTTCCTTTTAGCTCCTATGACGTCATCTTTGACCTGACCTGAAAATGACCTCAGTACAAATTATAGACCTTATCCGTGTGTACCCTTTACCGTTTACCGCTTGTCGCTATCTTGCTTTATTCTCGAGATCTCGCTGTCGCTCCCGCTCGTAATAATGGACAGGTCATAAAAATGACCTGACCTGAGGTCAACGCAGGGCGATAACCACTTTTTTTATTATCGCATATGAATGACAATTGATAAGGCTTTAATCGTCATCAGACAAAATTGCAACTTTCAGTGGGGAAAATATCAAGGTCACTCTTCGAAAAATAGGACAAAAGGTCACGTGATCAAAATTTTCAAAAATTGAAAATCCGAGATAGCCAAAATGTTTGTTGGTTGATTGTGAGTTGAACCATATGAAGTTTTTATCGTAAAAACCAATAGTTTCTGAGTTATATAGGCCGCCAAACATAGGGCTGCAGCGCGAACTCCAAGAATTGCCCGAGGCTATATCTCGGAAACCGTTGTTCGAAGAAAAAAATCCTTGCCACAGCTGGCTTCCCCGCCCATCACAACCCATTAGACCAATTTTAAGCAAAAAATAAAATATGAGGGTGCAGGGCACTTGTCGATTTGTCGTGGAACGCCCCAGTAGTAAGATCCAACTGCTTTATATGGGCCATCCTTCCAACCAGTCCATAATAGCGTAGCAGCCTCCAGCGCCCGTCGCTCTTGAAAATGAGACGCATAAGCATATACATACTATGCTCATACATAATAGCCAAATAAATATACTCATTAGCATGATCAGTATTCAGTACGATATGTGTTTAACGATAGGAGCTACGTAGTACGTTTGGTCAATTTGATAAAGTGCAGTAGAAAGCGGAACATAAGAGCCACGCCCTCCCTACATAGGTCATGGCAATTGGTCAGTGGTCGCGATATCTTGGCACTTATGCTCTGCTTGTGTTGTTGCCGCTCACCACCAATGAACAGCCCTGTGACTGTGCGGGTCGCCAGGACAGCCAGCTGGTCCAGGAGTGTGTCCGTGCCTCGTTTGATACCGACATCCAGTCCAGACGTCGGCCATCGGGGGTGCTTCATTGGGGTTCTAGTCATCCCGGATCCTCTGGAGAGGGACACAATTAGCCAGTAACCCGCGCCGTGACGGGAGGGGGAGGGGAGGGGGTTTTCATAAAACAAGCGCATCTATTTTTTATATTTGCAGAAAATTGAGAGGATGTTTATCCGTCATTTCTCTATAGAAAGCCATTTTGACTTTCAAACGTAGTTTTATGGGTTCCTATCGAAAACTGAATTGTTGACACAAGTGATCACAAGTGACACAAGTGATGACGCAAGTGATCCTAAATTTTCCTTATGAGGTCGTATAAGATCAACAAAGGACCAAGGTCATTAACAGTTTTTCGACGAAAACTATTGAATTTTGATAGATGAGCAAACAATGGATCTATGCTAGCTCCTTGAACCTTGAAAATGTTGCGCTCAATAATACGGATTCACATGTATGTAAGTTAACCGCCTGCTATGAAGCTGATCTCGGGCCAATTTGTCAAACTGATCTTTTACTGGTCAAACTATGGTTCATCATTCGACGCATGTCAACAAAACAAGGATGCTGCTGGTAAAAGCACTGCCGTTTTGTGACAGTGATGCAGTTCATAATTGATGTTGATGTCGTCAGTAATCATTTGATCATTTGTGAATAGCAACAATCATTGATAATGTGCTAACTAACAAACAAACAAGGCGTAATTCTTTCAATCAAAAGCGCCGGCGATAACTTCTATAATAGTTATTTCATCGAGACTCGCAGACTGACAATTTCTGAGCCGGCGATCGCAGGAATATTCACGAGACACGAGTCCACAACTTTTGACGCAATGATCCCAGGGAGCAGCAAGGCGAGACGTTCTGGTCAATATGGTTGACATAGAGACGGTAGAGCAGGGACCAACGGTTACCTATCTGAGCTAGCGTGACGTACGCCAGTAACAAAGGCGTTCCACCAGCACCCCATAAACCTCTCACCAGTGATGTCCAGTCTCCTCAGCGACTTGGGCAGCAGCCGCAGCCACTTGCCGGAGCTGTCCACGGGTGGGCTCACATCGAGCCGCTCCAGAGCCTTCAGCGGCTCCAGCAGCGCCTCCAGCTGCCAGTCGCTGATGCCAGCCGGCAACGTCAGCTCACGCAGACTGGAGGCGTTGGCACGCGCCAGCCGGCGCAGGGCAGAGACTCGCAGCTTGAAGCCGCGCAGGTTAGCCTTCTCCAGGGCGTGGCAGGTGGCCGCTGGAATGAAGCAGCACTAGTCAGTGAAGAAGTGATCGCTCATATCATCATATCAACAAGGAATGAGTTACAGCGGGACAAAGCGTACCATGTCGTGTCTAGTGCGTTTCACACAGGACTCACCGACCAGTCGAAGGTCGGTGTCTGTCTCAGCCGTCGGCGCCCGCAGTTCAGTCATCTTCGGCTGGTCCTGTGTCTTCACTACGAGCTCTAGGCCCGTAGTCGGCGCAGGGACTTCTCCACCTCGAGTTTGTTGATCGGTTAGCTCCCGCCGACAGTCGCCGACGATATCGTCGACGGCGGACCGCCACCGACGGCAGACTGTCGGCACCGAAGGAACAAAAAAAGAAGGAGCACTTTGACGAGAACGTCATTGTTCATTTAAAGACAGCTTTGGTATCTTTAACCCGCGCCCTGCTGGGGGGGTGTTTGAACACCCCCCCCCCCCCTTGTGGTTTTTCGCGAATATCTAAAAATCGGCGGCGCTCCGCGCCGCCGTTTTTGGTACACCTTATCATACATCAATTCTACACATGTTGTGAAAATTTCAGACCAGGGTCATTAAAGGTCAGGTCACCAGGTCACTTGAAGTGACCTCACCTCATAAAAAGTTTCAATGTCTGTCATAGCTACAATGAGTGACCGATCGCTTTGAAACTTTCAGCGATTGCTAAGAGCAATAGCATGTACAAAATGTATATCTCAGAATTTTGATATAGATGACCTAAGGTCAGGTCAATTTTGTGACCTCCCCATTATAAGTCTATGGGAGAAAATTGAAATGCGCCTCTTTTGGACGACAGACATTATAAACACTCCCAAACACCGAATTACAAGTGGTTTAGACACACTGAACATGAGAATGGTGTCCGTGACCCTTGTTTATGCCCTGAGGTTATCTTAGGTCACGAATGGTATCTAACAGTTTTTCGCAAATAACTTTTGATAGAGGCATGCTAGAGCGATGAAAACGCCTTAGATGTGTTCAGCTCGACGATACGGATCGACTGATATGCAACATGACCCTTTCCGGTCAGGTCATGATCTTGACCTGAGGTCAAATTTTCAAGTTGACCTTTCAAGGTCAAGTTATAGTTCATTCGATGCGTCTTGACGAGAGGAACACGATGCCGGTAAAAGTAAGCTCGTACAAGGCTTGGGTCAAAAGTTATTGCAGAAAAACTGTTTCCGAAAAAAAAATCGGCTATTTTTGCAGTTTTTGCCCCCTGCAGGCAAAACCGTTGACGTTAGGTCAAATCTGAGAGAACTAATCAGAAAGGGCGCTAATAGGGCTATCGAATGCGCTTTTCCGCGGCGCTGTAGCTCTATTGGTTCCCGAGTTATGCGTTGGCTTCTTGGAAATTTTCGACATTAGACCTGGAAATCGGCGAAATTTTGCCTTGAATGACCTCTGGTGACCTGACCTTTGACCTGACCAAAAAATTGACCGAAGTGATTTCGTCATTATTTTTTACGCTCTGTCGAACGCCGCCTTCCGCGTATCGCTACGTGGCCCAGGAGCCGAGTTACAAGGGGGGGTGTTCAACCCCCCCCCAGCAGGGCGTGGAAATCCAGGACCCCCAGCCGGGCGCGGGTTAATTAAAAGAAGAAGCTATTCTATAACAAAGAGCATACCGAGCAGCCCTGAATTCACATACGAATCCTGTGCCAGCCTGCCCTTTGCCAGTCTGTCTGTCCCGGTTCCGACTTCCGGACTGCCGGTGATGTAGGTAATGTCTCGTGCCGAGCTCGCCGGTTTCTAGGAAAGGAACTCCAAGAAGGACTGTATATCATAATGAAGCATGATCTATACTCTTTTCTACCGTCCTGCAAACAATGTCAGTCGCCAGAACACTCACCCCGTCTGGCGCGGAACATTTCCCAGCAGTCCATCTTGCTCAGCACCATCTTCAACAACTCGGTATCCAGGAGATAAATGGCAGAAGGCCATTGCGGTGCAGCCTCTGGCACGTCGCCGCCCGCCAGTCCCGCCTCCTCCTCAGCTTGGGTGATGACGTCACATGTGCGGATGGTGTCACTTGTCTTGTCGCAAGTGTCAACCTTCATTGAAGCCACCTCATCGCCGTCACTGGGAAGGAATGACGTCAGTGTGACGTGGTGTGACGTCATCAGAGGTCGGACATTAGACGATAATTTTCAGACGTCTCCACTTCCAAGACAGCACCGTACCATCGATCTGTGAAAGCCCATCTAGTGTCCCCTCCCCCCAATCCCTGTGCCACCCAGCAGCCTGCTGCCTCACAGTCACTCACAGACAAGTTGTCTAGAAAACCGAGTTGTCTCTTACAAACTGTCTATTGTCTACACAACCGGTTCGGCTCTTATATGTAGACAAACTGTCCATACAACCGGGTCAAATCTACAGACAAACTGTCTACACAACTGGGTTGACTCTTACAAACGAACTCTCTACATATCCGGGTTGACTCTTACAAACTGTCTACACCTACACAACCAGTTTGACTCTTACAAACTATTCACAATCCCTTGCAGTCAAAACCGACTAACTCCCACTGTTAACCCCCTAACGTCATCCCAACGACTAACCCCCAGTGCCACCCCTGCTGCCTCCCAGTCTCACCCCTGGGGACAGCCGGATAGCGCCGCTCGCCGGCGGACCTCCTGCCGCAGCTCCTCCACGACGACCTGGCGAGTGGTGCGCTCCTCGAGGACAGCCTGCCGCAGGCGGACCACCTCTCCACGTAGATGGACCACCTCCTGACGCAGTGTAGTGTTGTCTCCCTTCAGTGTGGCGTTGTCTCCCTTCAGTGTGGCGTTGTTTCCCTTCAGTGTGGCCACTTCTCCCTCCAGTCCGACCACTTGTTCACTCAGGTGGTCGCAGTTTTTCTTCAGAGTGGTCAGTTCCCCATCCAAACGGGCAATGCCCTCTTGATTACGACGTGTCAGTTCCTCCTTCAGAAGTGCCATCTCTTCTTTCATCTGGATAACCTCCTCTTGGAGCTGTCTGGGCTCCATTTCTAAAACAGAAAACGTACGGTATATAAAATACTGAGAGAACGGTGTCACCTGAAACAGTCTAATGGTCGTAACGGCATGTGCCTATGGCTAATCTGTGAGTTTATGATTTTTTAACCCTCGCCCGTATAGGGGGGGGGGGGCGAACGGACCCCCCCCCCATGGTTTTTCGCGAATAACTCGCGTAAAAGCGGCCGATCGCGACGAAACTTTCAGTACCCTCGCGTTAATCAATTTTACACCTACTCTGAAAATTTCATGACCCTGACCCCAATGACCTTTGACCTGTGGCCTACTTTTCGAGACCATGTTTGGCCGGAATCGCGATTCGGCGTATGTCGGCTCGCATTAGCCGCGCGTTTGCAGTCTTTTCGTGGTTTCAAGCGTTCAAACATGTGATATGATGTTGCCCCCATGCGTTAGGGTGGGTGTCAAGGTCACCTGAAGGTCAGGTCAGGTCATTGACCTTTGATGACCTCGGTTCACTTTTTCGAGTTTTACATGTTTCTAGGCCAGTTTTTGCAGCTGAATTCGAATTTAGCAACCATTTGAACATTTACGAAGTGGTTTTGGTGCCTTCGTAACATGTTACGAAGCTGTCAGAGGCGGTTGACACCTACTAGGAATACCCGGCAGGACCCCTACTGCTTGACCTGACCTGACCTGACCCGACCTGGACTAAATGCATGAAGACATCGTCTGTGATCAAAACGAACGTGATATTCGTGATCAGCACCCCGAAAAACCCCGTAGCAGCCACACTTTACGACGTTCTAACAGGTCCCGATTTTCCCGACTTTTAGGTCATTGACCTGACCTGCAAGGTCAGCCAATGACCGAGGACCATAAAATTAGGTATCATCGGCTTCCTCTCGTCACGGGCAACACGTTCGTTTTTTTCCGCGAAGCTCTAGCTCGATCAGGGGCGAAACGGCAAGGGGAGGGTCCAACGGACCCCCCCCCCCCCTTATACGTTCGCGTCTGGAAAAACACCAATACGGGCGAGGGTTAACACATACCGTTGTTGGTCGGAAACCCAGGAGTCATGACGTCACTATAACCTCAATCTTAATTTTCCCCACCAATTTGTTTGAAATTTCATCGCAATGAGCTTCAATTGATTCCCTACATGCAACCAGAATTTGGCACTCCTGCGACGCGGCCGTTTTTTTAAGCGCGGCGAAAAAAGTGGGGGATTAGCTCATCCAGCAGCTCGCGGGTAAAGTAACGAAGTTTTCGAGACACTATGATGCGGTACGTATAGAATAACCCCTTTCCTCAGCCCTGATCTGGCCAGTCCCCCGGCCCTCTCATAACGAGTGGATGGGGGGGAGATACGACTCCTGGCGGGGCTTTTACAGAGCTACTTTTATACGTCAGAGGCTGGTGTAGGCGTGGTGCGTGAGCCACAGCTGGTTCGTACGAAGTTTCATCCACAGTTGGTTCGTACGAAGTTTCATCCACAGTTGGTTCGTACGAAGTTTCATGTGTTTTTCCCCACCCGCCGTGAACTGAGCAGAGGGTGTTCATGGACTCTCACCGTATCACTTCCCTCCACAACCTCCCCCCATCCCCCCCCCCCCCCCGCTGACCCCGCTGACCCGTCTACCGCCGACACCAAGCACCGGCTCGGTGTCACGTCTCCGTCAGCTGACTCGGCCGTGGATCAGCTCCGTGTCTGTGTGTTCAGGCGGCAGAAACACAGGTAGAGAGCAACTGGAGCCGGAGAGAGAGAGAGAGAGAGAGAGAGAGAGAGAGAGAGAGAGAGAGAGAGAGAGAGAGAGAGAGAGAGAGAGAGAGAGAGAGAGAGAGAGAGAGAGAGAGAGAGAGAGAGAGAGAGAGAGAGAGAGAGAGGAGAGAGAGAGAGAGAGAGAGAGAGAGAGAGAGAGAGAGAGAGAGAGAGAGAGAGAGAGAGAGAGAGAGAGAGAGAGAGAGAGAGAGAGAGAGAGAGAGAGAGAGAGAGAGAGAGAGAGAGAGAGAGAGAGAGAGAGAGAGAGAGAGAGAGAGAGAGAGAGAGAGAGAGAGAGAGAGAGAGAGAGAGAGAGAGAGAGAGAGAGAGAGAGAGAGAGAGAGAGAGAGAGAGAGAGAGAGAGAGAGAGAGAGAGAGAGAGAGAGAGAGAAGGTGGAAACGGCCCGCCGTACCGGTCAGATATCAGAGCCGTGGTCCAAATGGACGCGTTTCCCAGTACTCACTCCGTTGGTGAGTCGCGGCCTTCCTTCGCTGCGGATTACTTATCAGTGGTGTTCATCCCAAATTATTGGAAAGCCGATACCAAACCGGGATGACAATGGCTTGGTTTCATTATACCACAAAAGTTGGTATCCGATTGACATCTCTTAAAGTTATAATCTATCCGTTCCTGACATAAGGTCTGCTATTAGGTAACCAGGGGTCAGCAAGAGACATTATAGCTATTCAACGCTATTTTCTAACACCGCGACAATAACTTAACCCGCGCCCTGCTGGGGGGGGGGGGGGTGTTTGAACACCCCCCCCCCTTGTGGTTTTTCGCGAATATCTCAAAAACGGCGGCGCATATCATACATCAATTCTACACATGTTGTGAAAATTTCAGACCAAGGTCATTCAAGGTCAGGTCACCAGGTCACTTGAAGTGACCTCACCTCATAAAAAGTTTCAATGTCTGTCATAGCTACACCGAGTGACCGATCGCTTTGAAACTTTCAGCGATTGCTAAGAGCAATAGAACGTACAAAATGTATATCTCAGAATTTTGATATCGATGACCTAAGGTCAGGTCAATTTTGCGACCTCCCCATTATAAGTCAATGGGAGAAAATTGAAATGCGCCTCTTTTAGACGAAATACATTGTAAACACTCCCAAACACTGAATTACAAGTGTTTTAGACACATTGAACATGAAAATGGTGTCCGTGACCCCTGTTTATGCCCTGAGGTCATCTTAGGTCACGAATGGTATCTAACAGTTTTTCGCAAATAACTTTTGATAGAGGCATGCTAGAGCGATGAAAACGCATCAGATGCGTTCAGCTCGACGATACGGATCGACTGATATGCAACATGACCCTTTCAGGTCAGGTCATGACCTTGACCTGAGGTCAAATTTTCAAGTTGACCTTTCAAGGTCAAGTTATAGTTCATTCGATGCGTCTTGATGAGAGAAACACGATGCCGTTAAAAGTAAGCTCGTGCAAGGCTTGGGTCAAAAGTTATTGCAGAAAAAACTGTTTCCGAAAAAATCGACTATTTTTGCAGTTTTTGCCCCCTGCAGGCAAAACCGTTGACGTTAGGTCAAACCTGAGGGAATTACTCAGAAAGGGCGTTAATAGGGCTATCAAATGCGCTTTTCCGCGGCGCTGTAGCTCTATTTGTTCCCGAGTTATGCGTTGGCATCTTGGAAATTGTCGACATTCGATCTGGAAATCGGCGAAATTTTGCCTTCAATGACCTCTGGTGACCTGACCTTTTACCTGACCAAAAAATTGACCGAAGTGATATCGTCATTATTTTTGACGCTCTTTCGAACGCCGCCTTCCGCGTATCGCTACGTGGCCCAGGAGCCGAGTTAGAAGGGGGGGTGTTCAGACACCCCCCCCCCCCCAGCAGGGCGTGGAAATCCAAGACCCCCAGCCGGGCACGGGTTAACCCTCGCATGTGTAGGGGGGGGGGGTCGGATGGACCCCCCCCATGGTTTTTCGCGAATAACTCGCGTAAAAAGCGGCCGATCGCGACGAAACTTTCAGTACCCTCGCATTGATCAATTTGACACCTACCCTGAGAATTTCATGACCCTGACCCAAATGACTTTTGACCTGTGACCTCTTTTCCGAGACCATGTTTGGCCGGAATCGCGATTTCGCGTATGTCGGCTCGCACTAGCCGCGTGTTTGCAAGCTTTTCGTGGTTTCAAACGTTCAAACATGTGATTTGATGTTACTCCCGTGTGTGTCAAGGTCACCTGAAGGTCAGGTCAGGTCATTGACCTTTGGTGACCTCGGGTGACCTCGGGTCACTTTTTCGAGTTTTACATGTTTCTAGGCTAGTTTTTGGAGCTGAATTCGAATTTAGCAACCATTTGAACATTTACGAAGTAGTTTTGGTGACTTCGTAACATGTTACGAAGCTGTCAGAGGCGGTTGACACGTACTACGAATACCCGTCACGACGCCTACTGGTTGACCTGACCTGACCTGACCCGACCTGGTCTAAATGCTTCAAGACATCATCTGTGATCAAAACTAACACGATATTCGTGATCAGCACCCCGAAAAACCCCTTAGCAGCCACACTTTACGACTTTCTAACAGGTCCCGATTTTCCCGACTTTGGGTCATTGACCTGACCTGGAAGGTCAAACAATGACCTAGGACCTTAAAATTGGGTATCATCGGCTTCCTCTCGTCACGGGCAACACGCTCGTTTTTTCCGCGAAGCTCTAGCTCGACCAGGGGCCAAACGGCAAGGGGGGGTCCAACCGACCCCCCCTCCCCTACACATTAGAAGCTGGCAAACGCCGCACACATGCGAGGGTTAAACGATTCTATAAAACGTAATAAATAAGATAAAAGTCACATAGGAATAACACCCCGACAATAACTACAACGATTCTATAAAACGTAATAAGATAAAAGTCACACCGGAAATAGGTCGTCAAATCTGACCTGACCGGTATATAAGGCCTTGACCTGACCAAACTCCTCAGACGAGCTCCTCATCCTGGTAGCTGAGACGTCTCCATGGCAACCGCCAGCCAGTCGCGCCCAACGGCAGCCGGACTTCCCCTCTCCCACGCGCAGCGGGGCGAACCGCGCCAGGGGGACTTCCCCGTTCAGGAAAACTGAAGCTGAGTGCCCGTCGTTTTTTAGATAAGTACGCTCCTTACCATGTTTTTACATGTCCTGATTATTGAAAGAGTTGTAAACGTCACGATAATCCATCCAGGCCCTGGTCTCAACTCTCAGGCCTCCCTATCAGCTTCACCTAGCCCGGCCCAAGGCCGAGCCCGGCCAAAACTAGCCATGCCTGACTAATATTTACCTAACCCAACCACTCACTACACCCTGCACCCAACCCAAGACCCTATATTGATATACCCCTACAACTACCTAACCCTGAATAGCTACCACTGGCATAAAGCTATCCTGCAGGTTACGTCAGACTGATGGGACACGCCTAAGAGCTGGACTTTTTGATGACGTCTTCGGGTGACGTCATGTCGTGTGTGACGTTTCGTGAGCAGGTAAGGAAAAGTCACCACCGCTGGCGAACATTGGTGCGGTAAATGGCAAACACAAATGCTGCGCAGAAAAGACAAATGTGTAACTTCAGACAACATTCGTTCGGACGACAAATGTCAAGGCGAATCGGTTAGAGGGCCTTGGGCGAATCAAGAGAAGTTCTTCATGCGATTGTTAGTTATCTGTCGTGCTATTTTAGTATGATTGTTATTAGCAGTTGATTTGTGAAATGTATTATCAAAATCAATGTTTATTGAACGCAGATTCAGTTTATTTTCAGATGTAAGGTACCCTTACACTTCACTCATCTCAAGCTGTTCAAACACCCTTGACAAAGTCGATTAAGATGAAACGTTGGGTATAATTTATACTGTATTTTCTCTGTATTATTAACATATTCTTCATATATACAATATAAGGGCCACATGCTTTTCACAGGGAGACATGTCAGACAGCCCAGTAGGATGAGGCTTCGTCAAGCATCATTTTTAGCAAAGCTTTTCTTGCTTAAAATCCAGTCTGCAAAACGTGGCAGGGCTTACACTTTGGCTTACACTTGACTCCCAGCTGTTGTGTCTTTGCTATGCGATGTTAAACATATAAGCATCTTACTATTCATGTATGCGCCATGACTCATGTAATCTTTTCACAGCCAAGACGCTCCTAAGGTACTGGGAATGTGGGGAGTGCAGCAGCATCAGTGCAGCACCGATGGTCGGATGCGACGGCTGCGATAAATGGTACCACTTCCGTTGTGCGGGACTGACTAAGGAGCCAGGTAAGCGCAAATGTTTTCTGTCTCAGTATTTTTGTTGCAGCTATAGTGATCAATGAAATATTTTCTGCACTGTTCAGCCAAACATGTATTTCAAACAATCTGCTTCCCAACCAAGGGCGTCGCCACAGGGGGGGGGGGGACGGAGGGGATCTTGTCCCCTCCACTTTTTAAAATTTTAACATTACGCCTATGGCGTTGCATGGAAAGAATCGACTTGAAATGGTCCTCGTCCCCTCCAAAATGGTCAATGTCCCCTCCAGTCGTCGCACCGTGGCGTCGCGTCTGTTCCCAACTACACAAATTTAGTCAAACAATGTGCCAATATGGAATTTTCAGGTTCAGTTGAATGAAATAGGAACAATGATAATGGTAGATTACGTATACCTGCAAGAGAGGAAAACAGAATACATTGTATTGCTTGTCCTTCACCGATACTGTTATTTTTCCATTTCTAGAAACACCGACATGGCGATGCAGGTGGTACTGCCTGGTGAGGCCGCGGTCTCCGGAATCGCCTGCAGACGAAGTCACCTGGCGTCCATCTGCACATCACTTGCAGCAGTGAGGCCTGCTGATAGCGTCTGGCAGTGTCGGCAACGTGCCAGACAGCTATCTGGAGTCCTGCTCACCGCAGGTCGCCGACAGGAGGGGCGACGCATCGTCTCCGAGGTCGCCTCAGCAGCAGTGAGACCCCATTGGCCGTCTTCTTAGGCTTCAACTAGATTGCGAACAACCTATGCTGAGACAACGCCCATGACGTGTGATCCGGTACCGCTACCGCACGGCGTGCCTGTGCCCGCCGTGAGCCGCTAGTGCATGGGTTCGACCATGAGAATATGTGTTTATGTTGCTTTTACTATTGTTTATACGGAAGTGACGAATTGTTTATTTTTCGCAAGCCTCCGCTGTCCGGTTGCCAGCAGCTCCATGCAACGCCAGCTGTACTGTTGTTTTAATGTTGTCTCTCCGCTCAGCTGTACTGTTGCCTCTCCGCTCATAACAACCTATGCTGAGACAACGCCCATGACGTGTGATCCGGTACCGCTACCGCACTGCGTGCCTGTGCCCGCCGTGAGCCGCTAGTGCATGGGTTCGACCATGAGAATATGTGTTTATGTTGCTTTTTATACTATTGTTTATACGTTGAAGTGACGAATTGTTTATTTTTCGCAAGCCTCCGCTGTCCGGTTGCCTGCAGCTCCATGCAACGCCAGCTGTACTGTTGTTTTAATGTTGTCTCTCCGCTCAGCTGTACTGTTGCCTCTCCGCTCATAACAACCTATGCTGAGACAACGCCCATGACGTGTGATCCGGTACCGCTACCGCACTGCGTGCCTGTGCCCGCCGTGAGCCGCTAGTGCATGGGTTCGACCATGAGAATATGTGTTTATGTTGCTTTTTATACTATTGTTTATACGTTGAAGTGACGAGTTGTTTATTTTTCGCAAGCCTCCGCTGTCCGGTTGCCTGCAGCTCCATGTAACGCTAGCTATACACTGTTGTTTTAATGTTGTCTCTCCGCTCAGCTGTACTGTTGCCTCTCCGCTCATATATGACACCTCTATATGAATGGCACTACTGATTGTCACACCCACTGTCCGTATTGTCCGTAGTGGTGTCTACGCCCATGTTAATACAGCGTGCAGAATCCAGATTCTATTGAGGAGAGTTGAGCCAAGTCACCATAGGCTCGGGAAGAGAGCAACGTGGAGGCCCACTGCCCCTTCCCCGGCCCCCACTGGGGGCGCCAGCCACTCCAAGTTTTGACTGGATGTCAAGAGCGTCGCCACGAGGGGAACGAGTCGCCGGCCAGCCAAGGTAGCCAACGGCGTGTGAAGGTTGCCTGACCTCGAGGAAACTGAGATGGCACCAACGGAGGTTTTGTTAAGTAGGCGACCAAAATTCGAGCGGTAGCAACCTGGGCACCTTCACAGATAGCAGTGCCGCGTATCAGGGCGCCTTCGACGTTGAGCTGGGCGCCGATCATCAGGACGCCGGGGGAATATGACCCGATATCCCCCGTAAATATGTGCCTCGGAAGGGAGACCCAGCCATAAAACTAAAAGCTCGCCGTATTTTATCCACTATTTTTCGAGCAGGTCCATAGATTTCCGTCCTCAAAAGTGCGGGGATATTCCCCAGTGTTTGAGTTGGATGGGAGATGGGACTATACTATGGCGTTTACACCGACGATAGATTCCCATTGCCGGCTGTGGGAAACTACTGTCGGTGTAAACGCCATTCATATTTCCTGCGTCACCCCTGTGGGGACGCCCTTACTCAATGGTGCCGAGCTTATCAATTTGGATATCAATGGAATCAAAATCTCATCGATCGATGAAGAACTAAATTACCCCGACCCGGAGAGCGTCTTTGGAATCAAAGCAGTAGCACATGACGCAAGACTTCAGGCAAATAAATCCTTCTTGTCTGAAATAAAACATTTGTGTATTAATAAGCACGTTTTATAAGCAATCGTAGCAAGATTCTCCATGTATTTGGTTTTAGTGATAATTTAGTAGCAGATACTTACCGTCGCATTTCGTTTTTTTGATTAATAATTTATATTGTCAGAACAAGCAACATGTCTCTTCACTCAACAATAATTACAAAAGTGAAAAAGAAATGATAAATTGCTTATATTTTGGTGAAACTAAAAATTAATTCCGCACATATTTTTTTTACAGCGTTGAAGTCCAGCTCCAAAGGACAGCTGACGATCGTAGCCGAGCAGGCTGTTTGGTACTTCTTCACTACTTCTTAGAAGTACCCGTTAGTACCGATCATGTCTCACATAATAAGCTATGGGAACGAAAATATCCATGTTCTTCTAATTATTCTCCTTTCACACTTTAAATAAATACTTTTGAAATGCATTTACTAATTAATTTCACAAAAAACGGCTTGAAATTTTACAACGTCAAAATACTTATTCCAATTTCCACCATGAGACCACCGTCCACCACTATATTACTTGCTTACAGAACCGTGCGCACAGTGCGCGCAGTTTTAACGTGACGTCAGAGGGTGCTTCCTCAGTGGCGCCCCCTGGCGGGGAACGCGTGCAAAAAGTCCAGCTCTTAGGCATGTCCGACTGATGGGGATGTGTCACGTGACCTCACCCCAGTGGATTACCTCCATGTTGGATGCGCTGATAAACATCGTTATTTAGATTTAAGGCATGGAACCGAACAGAATCTATGCTTGTTCAACTGTTGGAGCTCAGCATTCGGCCATAACTTCAACACGGTACCGTGCCGCTGAGGACGAGCCCCTGGAAAATACCCACAGGCCACACAAAGACCACACTGTTTAGCCAGCCCCCCTCCCCCTCTCATCCCCACAGAGATATGTGACCGTCTGTGTCACCCCCCTCCCCTGACCCCTCGCTTTGACCTCACCTCGTCTCCTCTGTCCGTACTGTCGTCTTCGCCGTCCGTATTTCTCCGTCTCCACTTTCAGTACTCCCACCTTCTACGCCACACTTCCAGCAGCCACTGGCAGTCTCAAGGCCGTCGCTCGCCCGTCGGCCGCCTCTGGTTCCGACAATCGCCGATAGGTGGCAGCAGGTCCTGTGCTCAGTCTGCCGTATGTGGTTCCGACTAGTGATGTCAATTACGGAAAATCGTGAATCGTGATACCAATACCAAACCAAATACCAACAAAGACCATGAGAAAATACCGAAACCGAACCGACTTTGGAAAATGAGAAAAATACCAACTTTTTACCAAATTAGCTGCCTCTTTTACATTAGTCAGGATTCATAATACCAACAAAATACCGAAAACCTTAGCATTGAAATACCAAATACCAAGTTGGTATCGGTTTGGTATCGGTATTCGGTATACCAAAAAGTTGGTATCCAATTGACATCTCTAGTTTCGACAACCGCCGATAGATGACAGCTGGTTTCCAGCAGTCTGTCAGTCCGTGGCGTTGAATTTTACCTTTAACTTTTGATTTTTACCTTTTAACCCTATTAGTGGCAGGCTCCTGGCTACCCCCTATTAGTGGCAGGGGGGGGCTGTTTACGACCCCCCCTTGATATCTCGAGATCTAACGGGCCGATTTTCAAAATTCAAACGGCATTCGATTTCGCTCAACGTGATCTACATTTCTAAAAAAATAAAAATTAAAAAAATGTCAATAGGGGGGTAGAGGGGGGTAAAAACGGGCAAATTGCAGATACATTTTAGACTGTTTATCACGGCCAGGTTTCTGAACCAATCTTAACGCAACTTTTGCCGATCGATAGAGAATGAACCAGGAATTCACATGGATCCTAAAAATATGCATTTTCAAAAATCATAGGCGGATACAGATCATTGAGATTGGGGGTACACAAAAAGTATAGTAAATAAGGTTTTTGTTGGTACTGTTTCTAAAAAGGGTGGTAATGGTCTTGTTATGTTATAATTTTCTTATGAGAGAACGACTAAAATTGTATTGGTAATGCATAGGCGGTGTCAGGGCACCTATGTTGGGAGGTAAAACATAACCCCCCTTTTTGGACGCCTGGATCCGCCTATTATAGCAAAAACGTGTCAAAAGAGGATGCACAATAACTGTATATGTTATCACATGATACCTTTTATTCACTGTTCGTAAAACTGGTGCAGCATCGTGATCTTCGCCCAAATGACTCGCTTCACGAATAGGACCCCCCGATTCCCAGTGCTCTGGAGCCGCCCCTGGTAAAGTTATGAACTTGAAATTTTCAGGGAATGTGCCCAATTTAGTTTTAGGAAAAGTCAGAAAATTTCAGCATCGTAGCTTCAGCGGTTTCGGAGATATTTCCGAAAAACCTGAGGGGTGGATAAAAACAACCCCCCCCTGCCACTAATAGGGTTAAATTTCACCAGCCGTGTAATTCGCTCCCCAAAGTTCAAAGAATATTTAAAGGTAGGGTAGACCGGGGCAAGTCGCCCCGCCGAGGTAAAACGCCTCACCGATGTTTCTCGGAACTGACAAGGTTCTGGGGAAACATCCTCTCTTCTATAAAACGTGCACTATATGATCATTATATGAGCAAAATGGAAAGAAATTGTGATAACTCTTTAGGGAGATATAGCCAAAAATTTGTTTTTGGAGTGATTTTTATGTTTTGTAGTCAGATTATGCATCATGGCGTTCTTTCATGGTCCACATCAGGTTAACGACTTTTATGTATTTTGAACAACTAGTGTCTAACGCTTATAATAATGGGTTGGTCCGTTTTAAATTATGTCTTGCTGGAGTGCAAAGCGTTGTTCTCTGACCGAACTACGTGATGGGGTAAAACGCCCCAGTAGGTCGCGGGGCAAAAAGCCCCATGGGGCGTTTTACCTCATGTGTTGTTCCGAATACCCACTTCCTAATGTTCGGTAACTGGCGAACAGTAAGTTTCTATGCAATTTTATGTGCTTTTCTCAGCAAATTAATGGCAAAGGAAGTATTTTGTTAACATTTGCATTGCAATAATTTATTATTTGGCCTTATGAGGCAGGTGAAAAACCTGTACATACAATAGTGTCATAGCTGAACACCTGACAGGATGGAAGGTGCTAACTTCAGTGCCGTGCCTCCCAAGGTCTAACGGTCCTCTCATATATGATTTAGTCAACTAGCATGTTTAATCTTTAATCTAGAGTATGGGGCTTCTTGCCCCAGGCCGTGGGGCGTTTTGCCCTGGGGTTGGGGCAAAATGCCCCATTTGCAGTTGCTTCACAAATCACTTCCTAGCTGGGAGTTCGATCATAAGTGAATGAATTTGAGGGGTGGAATTTAAAGTAAAATGTCCAAAGAACGCATTGTGCACAAATTTGGCTTTCCAGGTGATGTGGGACAAAAGTTATGAAGCAAAATAAATTATCTGGGGCATCTTGCCCCAGGCTACCCTACATACCACATACACAATGCAGTGGCTCTTCCGCACCCGAGTCACCTTACGACTACGTCAGTGAAAGTAAAACCAGGGTAGGTATAGGGCAAAACAACGGCGAGGCTAAGACAGATAAACACAGACACAGCACCATTCATTCACTCCTTGCATTCACTTATCAGCCATCAGTCCCAGTACCACAACAGTACCACGTGTACAGCAGCAACTGCTTAAAGGGACCCTCCCACCTTAACCCGCGCCCTGCTGGGGGGGGGTGTTTGAACACCCCCCCCCCCCTTGTGGTTTTTCGCAAATATCTCAAAAACGGCGGCGCTTCGCGCCGCCGTTTTTGGTACACCTTATCATACATCAATTCTACACATGTTGTCAAAATTTCAGACAAAGGTCATTCAAGGTCAGGTCACCAGGTCACTTGAAGTGACCTCACCTCATGAAAAGTTTGAATGTCTGTCATAGCTACACCGAGTGACCGATCGCTTTGAAACTCTCAGCGATTGCTAAGAGCAATAGCATGTACAAAATGTATATCTCAGAATTTTGATATCGATGACCTAAGGTCAGGTCAATTTTGCGACCTCCCCATTATAGGTAAGTCAATGGGAGAAAATTGAAATGCGCCGCTTTTGGACGAAAAACATTATAAACACTCCCAAACACCGAATTACAAGTGGTTTAGACACACTGAACATGAAAATGGTGTCCGTGACCCTTGTTTATGCCCTGAGGTCATCTTAGGTCACGAATGGTATCTAACAGTTTTTCGCAAATAACTTTTGATAGAGGCCTGCTAGAGCGATGAAAACGCCTTAGATGTGTTCAGCTCGACGATACGGATCGACTGATATGCAACATGACCCTTTCCGGTCAGGTCATGACCTTGACCTGAGGTCAAATTTTCAAGTTGACCCTTCAAGGTCAAATTATAGTTCATTCGATGCGTCTTGACGAAAGGAACACGATGCCGGTAAAAGTAAGCTCGTACAATGCTTGGGTCAAAAGTTATTGCAGAAAAACAGTTTCCGAAAAAAATCTGCTATTTTTGCAGTTTTTGCCCCCTGCAGGCAAAACCGTTGACGTTAGGTCAAATCTGAGAGAATTTCTCAGAAAGGGCGTTAACCCGCGCCCCGTAGGGCTACCGGCGGACCCTACCACCCGTAGGGGGGGGGGGGCGTTTCGCCCCCCCCCCCCCCTAAGATCTCGGAAAGCGGCCCCCCCCCCCCCTAAGATCTCGGAAAGTTACCGGCCGATTTTCAAAATTCAAACGGCGTTCGATAGCCCCACCCGGGAACTACCTTGTGACTAAATTTCATTGACGTAGGTCAAACCGATGACGTCACAGGTCAGGTCAAAGGTCAGATTTTCACCGTTCACAGGCAATTCAAGAAATGTGCTGTGAAAGCGAGTAAATTGGTAATTTATTGAAAACCATCGATGGTACATTGTTCGTCAAACACATACTTTGCTATCTGAGGTCACTGATACCAGGTCAGGTCACAGCGAGGTCAGGTCACCGGGGGTCACAATATGAATGTGTCGTGTGATACGTGTTTTATGGTCCATTTTACATGACAAATGCGATTATGTGGGTTAGGCAGCCTTTGGGGCCAGCCTAGGTCACGTTTTCGTGAAGGTCAGGTCAAGGTCAGGTCAAATTAGGTCAAATTTCAAAGTTGCTATTTTTGCATAAAATGGGTATCGATTCGATGCAACTCGTCACGGGGAGTCTAATGGTGGTCTTCGTTTTGCTCTACGAGTTCTAGAATTGCCAAAAATTGAGTTTGAAAATTTGACGTCATCATTTTTGAACAGTTTTTTCGCTATAACTTGGCCAAAAAACGAGGTATCGATCTGAAATTTGGTATGTAGATAGAAGACGGTAGGCACTATCACATATATTCAGGTTTTTTTTTCGAAACTCAAAAAACTTTTTGGATTTTTTGGCGAATATATAAAAAAATGCTTTTTTGATTTTTGGGGGTCAAAACTCAAAAATTTCAAACATTCGAGATATCAGTTTTGTAGCCCTGTCAATTTCACCTTTTATGTCTTGATCATTTTTCTGTATCTTCAAAGCTGTAGTCCTGACAGGTCTTCTCGCGAAGGTCTTTTTTCGGTCGAAAATCACAGAACATGACGTCACTCTGACGTCATTTGTGGCCAACCTATCATAGCCTCTGGAACAATTTTTGGTCACAATGTGTAAAATTGATGCCCGGAGGGGTCCTGAAAGTTTGGTGGCGATATCTCCAGCCGTTTAGGAGATATCGACCGAAAAGGACAGGGGGGGTCCGTTTCGGCCCCCCCCCCTACGGGGCGCGGGTTAATAGGGCTATGGAATGCGCTTTTCCGCGGCGCTGTAGCTCTATTGGTTCCCGAGTTATGCGTTGGCTTCTTGGAAATTTTCTACTTTCGACCTGGAAATCGGCGAAATTTTGCCTTCAATGACCTCTGGTGACCTGACCTTTGACCTGACCAAAAAGTTGACCGAAGTGATTTCGTAATTATTTTTGACGCTCTTTCGAACGCCGCCTTCCGCGTATCGCTACGTGGCCCAGGAGCCGAGTTACAAGGGGGTGTTCAAACACCCCCCCCCCCAGCAGGGCGTGGAAATCCAGGACCCCCAGCCGGGCGCGGGTTAACATTAGATTTGAGTTGAGATAGCCAAAATGGGGTCCCTGGCTCACAATTACCGGTTTTGGCACTCACAACATCGAGAAATGCCTTAAATCGGAAATATTGAATTTCAAAATTGCAGCATTTGGATTCAGAGGGGCTAATGCTTTTGAATACCCCTCTGAATGTGTGACGTCAGCGCAGATCTAACGATTTTTAAATGTTTGACTAAAACGTTCCGTAGCACGCGGTGGTATATGCTGCTTTTTCGCGCGACAAGTGCCGCACTTTCAGCTGCCAAACTATTGCTTCCAAATAAAGTCGCTAGGAACAGCGGGGATCCCAAAAAGTAAACAAAAGTAAAAGTCTGATATCTTGAAAACCGGTGAGTATTTTTCGGTGAAATTTGGTAGATATTCGTTTTCGCTCTTTCTGAACCGAGTGACATCACCTTCATACCAATTCATTAGCCTTTTTGAAGGTGGGAGGGTCCCTTTTAAGATGGCGTTTGAAGCCACATCCGGTGAGGCATTTCCTAGCTCGCTCGGGAGCCGGTTAAACATTGCACTGCAGTGTGATAGCCGCCTGGTGCCGGAGGATGTCTCAGAGGCGGATCCAGCTCAGAGTTTTTTTTGGGGGGGGGGGGGCAAACCATAACAATTTATCGATTCTTTCCATGCCTCGTCCATAGGCGTAATGTTAAAATTATGCCGTTTGGGGGGGGGGGGGCAAATGCCCATTTTGCCCCCCCCCTGGATCCGCCACTGGGATGTCTGTCTGTTCTCTGGCAGTGGCAGTGCAGCTGGCCGATCTGGCGAGTAGGATATGGAGTACAGACATGCGAAAACATGGCTGCAATGTCGGCAGGTAATTCAGTAACTAGGGAGACTGTTATCAAGTCTATGGTAGCTCACGAGCAGCTCAGCGTGTAACCACCCGAGTTGATGAAACGCGTCAGAAATGTGATCAAATTTGTGCCGGCCGCTCACAACACGAGCTCACAAATTTAACCCGCGAGTTGCTGGGGGGGGGGGGGGCGTTAAACGCCCCCACTTTTTTCGCCGGGCCATAGCATAAAAACGGCGCCAAATTTTGAGTACCTACCTGTAGGGAATTGATTGAAGTTTATTGTGACAAAGTTTCAAAAATATCGGTCGGAAAATTTTTGAGATATCGAGGTTTTAGTGACGTCATGATTTCTGAGTTTTCGACCAAAAACGGCATATGTTCAAAAATCATATAAAATTACAGAACAGACATATAGATATGCCGTAAACGCCATTAGACTGCCAATATCATGAAGAATGAAATGGCTATCTTCGATTATTGATTATCGTTCCGCATTTTCCAAAATCTTGAACTGAATCTTGGCAATTTCTCGTAACTACTTCACGACCATGATATATGAATTTCTTAAATTGAACTTTTTTTGCCAAACACGTACACATATGATAAAATGAATGTCACCATCGTGTTCTACGCCCCAAATTACCCATAAAACATGTGTCACAGGTTGCGAATATCAGTTTTTTTTTCGGGGATATGTGCCTGCCCGGTTGATCTGACCTTGACCCTGACCTATGCTTGACTGACCCCTGCATGGAGCTGACACTCTTGTAGGCCTTATATGATGGATTGTGCACCGTTTTGACAGAGTTTATGACGAGAGTTGCCCATTGCGAAGTCCTAGAGTCCATGCTACTGAAAGCCCGATTTCAGGTGTTTGACCTGACCTTGACCTGACCTGTGACCTCAAAATTCAACTTTAAAGTACTCATCTGAAGCGTCTCGTCGCGTTCTTTCGTTTGCCGCCTCGTGCGTTTCGCTGCGCCTATTGGTTCTCGAGTTATCGGCTGGGGGCGTTTAACGCCCCCCCCCCCCCCCCAGCAAACGGTGGGTGGCGAAATACCCCAGCAACTGCCGGGTTAACAGTTTCTGAATGCAGTGCTTTTCTGTTTTACCGCAGGACCCGTAGATGGAGATGCAGTACTCGGTAGCGAATTGAGCAAACCACAACCGCGTTCACAATGTAAGTAACGGTCCGGCAGGTATGCCATGCTTGTAATGGGACGGCGAACTCAAAAGACCGGTACATCTGCCAACCATCTGGCTAACATCATCCCCGAACGTCAGATGTCGGTCCATAGTGAGGCCGAGGTTTTTAACTGTGCGGCTTTCAGAAATGATCGGCTGTCCAAACTTAATCTTAACTGGCTGGGTGTCCTGCAAAGCTATTTTGGTGCCATGAACGTTTTCGCTTGATTGATTTTCATGCCATAGTGTACTGAATATTTTTTACAGTGTATGATGGAGAGGTCGCAAAATTGACCTGACCTTAGGTCACCGATATCGAAATTCCGAGATAAATATTTTGTACATATGTACTGTTACTCTTATCAATCGCTGAAAGTTTCAAGTCGATCGTTCAGTCGCTGTAGCTATGACGAGGATTGAAACTTTTTTTCTGAGGTGAGGTCACTTGACCTGACCTGGTGACCTGACCTTTGGAGCCCTGGGTCTGATTTTTTTATAAAATGTGCGGAAAAGATGCATGAACAGGTGTGCCAAAAACAGTGGCGCTCCGCGCCGCCGTTTTTGAGATATCTGCGAAAAACCGCAGGGGGTGTTCAAACACCCCCGGCCCGGCGCGGGTTAAACAATGCAAAATTTCAAAGGTCGGACCACGAAGGTTTCCAGGTAAGGGTATTGATTAAAACTGAGTGATAAACGTTACGTCAATATTCACCACTTTTTAGAGGTGAGTACCTAATTGAGAAAACAACCGAAAGACCCTATTGGACACTTCCCCTCTATGTGATAGGGCCACTGGCGACATCCAGCCTTCTAAAAAGTGATAGTAGCCACTAGTGGCATCCAGCCTTCAGTAAAATAATAGCGGCCACTGGCGGTATCCAGCCTTCTAAAAGTGATAATGGTCACTGGCGATATCCAGCCTTGAGTAAAATAATAGTGGCCACTGGCGGTATGCAGCATTCTAAAAGTCATAATGGCGAGTGGCGACTAGCGGTATACAGCCTTCTAAAAGATATAGTTGTAGTAAACTCCTTATGTCCACATTGCCGTTGTATTGCCAGCTGCCCCCGTCGCGCGCCGGCCCAGACTGGCCGGGGGTCGTACGTGACCCACCTTTTATTCAACAGGTTACGAAACGTCTAGAACACGCCCAAAACGAGTGCGAACTTGCACAGCAGCGACGAGGTGACGGAAGGCGCCAGCTTGGCGGCCTACGTGCCTTAAATGACATATCTTAAATTTACAATTGCGCTGCGCGTGCCGCCGGCCGTTTCCTCCCGGCTCCGCCCCGCACAATGCCATATAACTCATCCCGAGCGTGGACGGGGCGGCGGCGGCGCCGCAATGGCACGACTGCGGCCACAAGATTCTAATACACTCCCCCCTGATCTACAAATCATCGTAGGTACTGGGTCAGAACGGCAGGGCGTCTCTCCCGCATGCCGCGGCGTAGAACTTCAGCGTACGTCACAGGGGGCACATTTTCCCCGTGGCTTTCGTGCGCACACTCTCGCAAGATAATTGGGCCAGAGTTGTCATTGTCATTGTTCGGCGGCTCAGTCTGGCCACTCTCCGGACTGGGAACGAAAGCCAGTCTCAGATCTCTCACGTGACGGGGGAAATTGTCTACTTCCACACACTGCGCCGACACTTGTCGGGTGACTGTTCCTATGGAACTTGGCACATCACACCGGCGACTAGGGTCTCTGATCCATACCTTATCGCCTACACTGAACATAGCACATTCACTCTCTTCGCACTTTTCCTCACTCTCCACGTCCGGCACTCTCAGTTTGTAGTTGAACAGTACGTTGGCAGGACTAGAGTTCAGGTCATCACTGCGCGGCATCACATTATAGCGGTAGACTGCTTCCGCCACTGAGCAGCCTTTGCGCGCTACGATTGTTTTGACCGACCTGTGGTTTCTCTCAGAGACACCATTGCCGAACGGCGCATGGGCAGCTCGGTACCGGACGCTGACACCCCACCGGCTGACGAACTCGTGGAATGCGGCACTGCGGAATGAGGTGAAGTTGTCCTTCAGCAGCTCCCTCGGAGCGCCGCGCTCCAGGAATACCGACTCCAGAGCCGTGATGATGCTGTCGGTGTCCTGTCGCTTTATACGCCACCAGATCGCGTACCGAGACGGACCGCAGTCAATCAGAGTCAGGTACAGCTGATCGTTTACGTGACAGACGTCCATGCTGACCCTGTCCCAGCATTTGATCACGCTCAGCGAACCATGTGTCCACCGCTGGGGCGCTGGATCGATGGACTGGCACCTTTCGCACTGGCTAACGACACTGCGCACCTGGTGCCTGCTCACAGCCGGGTCGTGCTCCCTACACAGGCGCAGCGTTCTCCCGATGCCTGGGTGTCCGCTTGTTTCATGGATCCTGACCACATCCGGCGCCGAGAAGGCAGCGCCGCAGACCTCAGGATCGCTTTGTTGGTTCAGCCACTTCTTCGGGACTCTCGTCAGTGCGTCAGCCCTGTTGTCCACTGACGGAACGCACTTCATGGTCAGCTGGAGGCCGTGCTCATCTCTCAGACTCTTCACGGTCTCCAGGCGCCTTCTAATCAGCATTTCACTCGCCGCCTTCGTCTTTATCCGAGCTCTGCCGGAGAGCGCATCTGTTAGCCAGTGATAGACCGTTTTCGAGTCCGTCACGACAGTCACTTTCTTCAGGTTCCATGCCAGGGACAGATTGATGCCACGCACAACAGAGTCCAGTTCTGCAAGGTTCACGTGTGTCTCGGGATTTTTCCGAAGCCAGCAGGCGTCCTCAACGATGCTGCCTTCCATCTCCAGCACGGCTCCTATGGCGAGGGAGCTGGCATCCACCCACACGACTCCCTCATCGCCGGTGACATCCCAGCGACCTCGTGCGGGATCGGCCGTTTTCACGCGCTGCAGCGTTTCCATGACCATTTTCTGGAGTTCTGGGTCGGTGATCTCGTCATCCCAGCCGTCTGTCGCTGCAGTGGCGCGTCTTTTCAGGTAGGATGCGGAGACACGCAGCCAGCCACACACCGGGACCTGACTTGTCAGACGTCCGCACAGCGAGAAGACCTCTCTCCTCGTCAGCTTTGGCGGCGGCTGTAGATCCTGGTTGTCCCGCTTCCAGAACAGTCCTTGCCGCTCCCCCCAGACTCGAATGCCCAGGACACGAGCACCTTCTGACACCTTCTCCGGGGATTTGCAGGTCAGACCGAGCGCCTCCAGATGACCCTTCACCTCCAATGCAGTAGCGATGTTTTCATTTACGAGTATGTCGTCCACGTAAGGTGATGTAGCGGTGTGCACCCTCGGGTCACGTTTCAGGGCCATTTCCAGCACCTTTCTCATCACCATCGGTGCGAGACTGAGCCCAAAGCCAAGTCTGCTCAGACACCACCGTCTGCCCTGGAACACTACAGTCTGATACGGCCACAGCGATGCGTGCACGTGGATCTGCAGGTAAGCGTCTCGCAGATCTAGGAGAGACACGTTTCGTCCACACCGACACCACTCACGGATTTTTTCACTGCAAACATCCGCGTCAGCTGTATGCGGGTCCAGGTGCGTATTCAACTCCCTGAAATCCATGACGGGACGCACTTTGTCCTTCTTCGGTTGGATGACCGCCATGAGCGGGATCGTGCCTTTGACCCTCCCGTGCACGCTCTCATCATAAGGGACGAGCCATTGATTCGCCACCCACTTGGAGAGTTCTCGCTCGTATTCGTGTCGGGCTTCTGTTGGAATCGCGTACTCCTCTGCTGTATTGTGCAGCTGCTCGGGCTCCTTTCCTCCACACCATTTCCACTCCACCGACCACTTCTTTTCTGTCTCATCAAAGCTCACCACAAAGTCCTTCTCGTCGGCTCGATTAGCCGGTGCGGCCGCCGCCGCCGCACCCAACACCGGATCCCCCTGACTGCTGTCAGCTCGATTCACTGCTGCAGCTGCCGCCGCTGCACCTGACGCTGGGGCCGCCTCACTGCTCGCCTGATCATGACTCACCCGTGCAGTCGCTGCCACTGCACGCGACACCCCAGTCCTCTCACCATCACAGCTGACCCGGTCACCGGGTGAGGCCACTGACGCCGCTATATGAGACACCGCTGCCTCAACTCCGAATCTGACTCGGTCATCCGAACTCACTGTAGCGCCACCCAATGCTCTGATACCATTCATCCCGAGGATGAACTCAAACCCCAGTGGCTTACGTGCTACGACGAGCACATCTACGGACACTGATTCACCGGACCGCAGCTGCACGCGCGCCACGCCTGACCCCTCACACCAATAACGCCCTCCACTCACTGTCATCACGCTCACCGGGCGTCGGTTCCACTTCCGACAAACTGACACGTGAGCTACACACTGGCTGCATCCTGTATCAACCAGCGCTTTGCAGCTCGCTCCGTCCACCGACAGCTGCGCGACTGGCAGCGCCCCGTTCACTGGTCGACAGGAGAGGAGGCTGGCGCTGATCTCTCCCCTTCCGCGTCGTTTTCCGGACACGCAGAGGCGATGTGCCCCTGCCGGTTGCAGTTGTAGCACCTCACGAGGCTCCGTCCACCACGGGGGCCTCCACGGCCCCGCTGTCCGCGGCCTGCCGTGCAGTCGCGGGCGATATGGTTCGGTTGCCCGCACGAGTAGCATTTCATTGTGGCCGGGAGTGCTCCAGTCCTTGTGCCAGCGGCGGCGGCCGCGGTGTTCGTTTCCTCGTCAGCTAGCACGGCCCGAGCGCGACCGATTAGCTGGCTAAACGGCATGTCCTCCATCCGTGATCCAGCCCGGAGCGCACGGCGTGCTGAATCTGGCAGTTTGGCCACGAAGGCACAGGCCAGGCTGTCGTCCGGCATACCTCCGAACAAGCCAGCCAGCCGGCGCAGCTCAGAGACGAACACGTCCACCGTCTCACCTGGACGCAGCCTTCTACGTTCAAATTGGTCGTAGGCTTCAAACCGATCCGAAGCAAACGCCGATGTCAGGGCCCTTTTGATGTCTTCGTACTTCTTCTTCTCATCTTCTCCGAGCTGTTGATATACCGCAAACGCACCACCAGTGAGTCTCAGCGGGACGACGACGTGCAGTCCCTTGATGCCGCGCAGCTGACACACAAGCTCGACCTTGTCCAGCCACTCGCACACGGGCTGCGACACACCGTCAAACTCCGGGATTAAGCGGAGATCAGCCGCAGCGTCCGAACCATCACAGGTCTCCTTCTCGTTCCCCATCACGGCAGTCTTCCAAGGCCGAAATAGCTTGTAGTAAACTCCTTATGTCCACATTGCCGTTGTATTGCCAGCTGCCCCCGTCGCGCGCCGGCCCAGACTGGCCGGGGGTCGTACGTGACCCACCTTTTATTCAACAGGTTACGAAACGTCTAGAACACGCCCAAAACGAGTGCGAACTTGCACAGCAGCGACGAGGTGACGGATGGCGCCAGCTTGGCGGCCTACGTGCCTTAAATGACATATCTTAAATTTACAATTGCGCTGCGTGTGCCGCCGGCCGTTTCCTCCCGGCTCCGCCCCGCACAATGCCATATAACTCATCCCGAGCGTGGACGGGGCGGCGGCGGCGCCGCAGTGGCACGACTGCGGCCACAAGATTCTAATACAATAGTGTCCACTGGTGACATCCAGCCTTCTAAAAGTGATAATGGCCACTGGGGGTATCCAGCCTTCAGTAAAATAATAGTATCCACTGGCGGTATGCAGCCTTCTAAAAGAAATAGTGTCCACTGGCGGTATCCAGCCTTCTAAAAGAAATAACGACCACCGGCGATATCGCACCGCTGGATACTAGACCGTGTCCTGTATCCACCAGTCGATGGTGAGGTGTCCCGGATCCGTACCTGTGCTGTGTCCATACAGCTGTAATATAACTAATACACACTGTACAGTCTACAGTTGACGGCAGAACGATGCACCGTTTCTCAGCGCTGAGAAATTGCCCGCTCGGGCAATCAGCTGCCTGCAGTGGTAGGCTGTGCCGCAGCGCACGGGCTGGGTGACACATTGATCACCATCAGGGTTGTATACCAATCAAGTCGATTGAATTGATTGATTTGATTCAACGCGTATTTTGAGTTGATTGGATTGAGTCGATTGACTTTTCGAGATGACTGGTTGACTGACTCGTTTGACTTTAGCGACTGGTTGACTGATTTGATTCCCGAAAATTAGAGTGACTCGTATGATTGAGTCGATTGAATGGAAAGTTGAAATAAGTTTTAGTTGACGAAAAATAATGACACCAATTGATGACATCAAAGATCACAAAACTACACTGAAAACTGCTTGTCATCACAACTGCAATATGGGGTAGATGGCCAAATAAAGAACAGGGCCTAAACATGAACAGCCAACTTTGACTTTCAACTGCAATAACTGCTCCAATCCTGTGATAGAACCTGGCGATGCACCTACCTACCTTTCTGCACTCAGCAGGAAACTTTTTTTTTAATCCAGATGATAAAGTGCAAGGCCCTATATACTAATAAAGTGTGATTCATTACTAATTCACATCTCCACATCTCCTCAGAAACAACCCACTGAACTCTATAAATATCTGAAACCCCTACAAAAATAACTGAAACAAAAGCGCCGTTTTCGTCTCGCTAATTACGTTTACATTTATAGCTAATTTGCTGCATTGTTTAATTTGCAGCAGAACGTTTGTTGATCCTTTTCTCCTGAGAGCCTAGGCATAACATATGTATTTAATATATTTCATTTTCCTTAAAATATTTTACCGAATATTATTAAGTGGTTTTATTTCAAATGAAATAATAATTAAAACGAAATTGGTGTTGTACAACCGATTTATTTTATGATGATCTACCATACTACATGATAATCAATGACGTCATCTTACCAAAAAATCAAAAGACGTAGAATAAGGATTTATAAAAGCTTAGCATACTTCTTGGCAAAACGTTTTCTTTGTTTTTTCGCAGTCGCACCCGTCGCCTCGCACCAACGGCATTTAATTTTCCTTGTTCTTCTTCCTTTGTCCTTAACTTATCCTGTGGTTCCAGAGTCCCTGTCCTTTCCATTTCTTTTTAAATATATTTTTAATGCTCATCCCTATCCCCCAGTCCTAACAGTTTCAAATTGTATTGCAATAAAATGTTTTGAATTCTTCACATATAACCTATCTACCTTCGTTGGTACTGTTGGTAGCCAGTGACACATCTAGGCAGGTAAGAAGGTACCTACCTGATTTCCTGCTGTCTTCATAAAGCATACCTAATGAAGTTGTCAAATTTATAGCACATTTTCAACACTTTCATATCAATATGGTGTCAGTGTGGCATGTAACCTAGCTAGGTTCATTATGTTCAGGGTTCAATTCAGAAGAGCTCCGCATAACTCACATAAGAGACAGACGGGGGCTTTACATGGGGTAGATGGCCTGATGACTTAGCTGGAATATGGCCAAAATTAAATTGACAACTTTTAGGTGAAAGGTGGTGATTTGGGTTAAGGGGCGTTTGTTGAAGTCAACTACTGGGTTAAAATGCACCCATTAAATGAAACTTCTGCTCCAATTCTACCCATTGAACCTCAATATCATGATCCACCTGTCCATCACTAGGTATCCTTCCTTATTACATAGAAACTTTGAATGGCATGGCAATTTATAATTTTAAATGACAATATTTTTGTTTCTTCTGTAGGTAGGTAGGTAGGTAGGTACACCAGACTGCTATGGACACTTTTCCAAGTTGGTGGGGCAAAAAACCTAATGTATATCTTGGTTTGAGTCGTTTGATTGAGTTGATTGATTCCTTTCATTGTCGCGTTTGAGTCGATTGAATCAATTCCCGAAAACTGCTCTGACTTGATTGATTTGATTGGTTTCCCAAATTTGTCGTGATTGAATTGATTGCTATTGATTGAGTCGTATACAACCCTGATCACCATACACACACTTCATGTGTGATAATCAGTACAGCCTAACGGCTCAGTCAACTGAAGTGCTGGGCTGGTGGTGATGGTAAAAAGTATGATTCACCCGTCACGTGAGGGATACGTTTCCTGGGAATGACCTGATTTTTCTCTTTACTGATAACTCTCTGGGTTTGGCTTAATTTTCACGGAACACTTATATTAGGCAATCTGAAGTTGCACGCACTTTTTATGAAGCATCCTGACATTAGAGCTCCACGTCACTTCAAGTAGGTGACTTCTTTATATCACAACTTTGTATGACATTATGGAATGCTATGTTCAAAGCATTGCATAATGGTCAGCAGCCTTACAATCCCTTTGACGGGTTACCGTCACTAAATGACTGCACTGCATAGTTGCGCTTGGAAATCGCAGTAACATTTGTGTATTGAACGTCTGAAC